CGGCTTCGGGGCTTTTGTTCCCGGTGCCCACCCCCACCTCCCCCCGCTGTGCCGTTCGCTGCCCGGGGAGCGCAGCGCGGCCGCGGGCTGGCACAAGCCGGCTCTCTCCGTTCGCCTCCGGCTCTTCTTTTTCCTTTATTATCCGTGTTGCAACGGAGAGATGCGCCCTCCTTCCCCACCACCCCCGGAATCTCGCCGCGTTACGATCGGGCGAGGGGATGTTCCCGTGTTTGCTGGGTTTTTTTGTTGGTTTTTTTGTTTGTTTGTTTTTTTTGGGGGGGAAGAGGGTGGTGTTGGTACGTGGAAAGCAAATTTTCAAGATTTTTTTTTTTTTGCTATTCTGTCATGTAATAGGTTAGCGCTAAATGCATTCCCTGGGGGGAAGGGGGAGCGTGCGGTTAGCTGAAAGAGTTCTTATAATAGGTGCTCTGTGCATAAAGAGAGGGAGGAGACTTGAACATGAATTCGGAGAGCGTTTCAGCATGAAAAAAAGGCTTGAGAAGGAGATAGGCAACTCGGTAGCAAGGCTTGGGTGATGGATCCGAGCAAGAGTAGAGGAAGTCCATGCCCTTGTGAAACGGCTGGATTCCTGCATGGCAAAGCATGCCATTACAAAGGCTGGAGTGGGGATGGGAGCGATTGTGTTGGTGGAGTTGTGAGCAGGCCGAGGAGAGTTTACATTAATCGGCTTTGGAAGATCAATAAATGGTAGACTTGCACTTACTGCATTTATATTCCCTTTTTCAGCGAGGCTGAGCTCTGTGGAAGCGCAGACACAAGGGAAAGATGCCTGTGGTGTGGCCAACTCTTCTGGATCTCAGCAGAGATGAATGCAAGAGGATCCTTCGCAAACTGGGTACAGTAAGATACAATTTTTGGGTCTGTATGTTTGCCCTTTTAAGATTTACTTGCCTGCTGCTTCCATTAAATACGTTAATGTGTCTACAGGCAACCTACAAGTCATTTCCTGCATTTTGAATGTGTCATTGCTTTGACAGCCCTGGCTTAAAATGATGTTTGGAAGATGGTCTCTGCCTGAACAAAATGAATAGAGCAGAATTTTTCTGGATTGGTGGAATCTCTCTTGGATGGTCTTGGTCCATCTGTGCCTTGATGTTGCAGGATTGCATTGCTGTTCTTTTTATGACTCTGTGAGAGGAAAGTTTTCATTTGTTTTTCAGTTCTATATTAGACACCTTTTTGTACCAAAAAAGTCACAGAACCGTAATGTAATTGACACAGTGGGACTGAGTTCAAGTAGTAAAGGTGTTATTGTAAAGACTTGAAACAGGGGGGAAAATTGTGACGGTTTGTGATTTGCAGTTACACAAATTATCAGGGAAGTGTGAAAACAGTGTTCTCTTAACTTACGTAACAGGAGATTTTTTGCGTTGTTTCAAATGTATTTCAGTATCTGGGACCCCTGCCCAGTAAATATATATTGTGAGATTTTTTTTGTGCTCTGTTCTTGTAAATACATCTGTAGAAAGAGACTTGGTTTTGTATTTTGGAAGGTAATAAAAATATTTGCTCACATCCACTTCTGGCTTCCACAGGAGAGAGAATCCTTTGTTGGACCACCAGTCTGATCTTGCGCAGTCGTTTCTGAGATCTTAGAGCTGAATTTCTTTTTTAGTTAAGCATTTTTTGCCAATTAAATGTTGTGTAGTATTAGAAGGGAAAAAAAACCTGCTTAGATTTCTTTTCAGACTTTTGTCTGAGGAGCATAATCTAAGAGATGATGTCAGGAAGAAAGTTGAGACTCCCTCTAACTTCCTCTGATAGTCAAATCACAGCTTTTTGTGTTCTAATTTTACTTGAATGTTAAAAGATTATGTGCTGTACTTCTTAACTGTGCCAAGGTTCATTATGAAGCCATCTACTTTATTTTCTGAGAGTTGAGAATTCATTTACCTTCGCTTTGCCCTTTTTTATTTCATTTCTTGGGAGTCTGGGGTTCGTGTTCTGTTGAGACAGACATTGATGCAGACACACGACATTGCGACTAAGCTTTGCATCCATTAAGTGACAGCCCTAGGTCTTAAGCGAGGCTCAAGAAGTATGAAAACTGGGAGAAAGTGCAGGATGCTGAAAGATTTGGACCAGATCCATGCTACTAAATTTTGTTAACGTAGCTCTGCTGGCTAGAAGCGTGGAAAAAAAAAAACTTGCAGCCCAGCTGATGGCGGTGTGCTGGCAGAACCCTGCTGCTGCAGCTGAGCCAAACAGAACTGCAGCTACACCTCCTTCAATGACATAACCTAGGCTGACGGGGGGGGGGGGGGGAATAAATAAATCTTTTTTTGCTGGCATGAGCTGTCTCCCCACAAGAGGGCCCTGCCAGCCTAACAGAGGATCAGAGCCTGTGTAGCCGTGTCTCTTCCAGGGTAGGGAAGCTCTCAGTTTGAATAGGCACGGCACAAGGAAGAGCACAGGCAGTGGGAGCGGATAGCTGTCTAAGTCATATCCAGGAACATCAATCTGCTTTATAGTGTCCTGCTTTTCTAGCTCTCAGCCCAACATCTTATTTGGTTGACCATTCAGCAGTAGCAGGGTAATCCGTAATGTATAGGTGAGGCTGAAATGCATCCCAAGGTGTGCAGTACCTAGTGTTGTTCTGCAGCGTTCGTGGCTTATAACTGAACAAGGGGGGTGGTGGTAGCACCTTACACTTTAAATAATGCTATTTATTTGTGAAATGTGTTTTGGCTGTTTGATGTGTTTTGCATTGGAAAGAGAGCGCACCAGTTAGTGATTGCTACTTAGATATTAAGGGTGAAGAAGGTAGTTATAACTGTTTCGTAATCCTTACTGGCTGTTAAAAAGCCAGAACAGGCATTTTTAGATCTCTTGCTGTAGAGGATCTCTATTAAAAATGCAGAAGGAAAAAAAAAATCCTTGCTAAATAATTATATGGTTGTATCTGGGAATTATTCTATGTTGTTAACAGAGGAAAATAATTAGTATCTTAAATATTGTAACATAGTTGTCTAAATAAATGTTGATATTAGTAATAACTATTGCATTAATTAGCAAATGTTTATTACTGAAGCTGTAAATGCTTCTGTAGGTCACTCAGCATCCCTGTGCAGGCTGCATAGTTAACCATACCTACTCTACTTTGTGTTTTGTCTGCTTAATCGGGACAGGAGAGCAGGGCTTCTTTTCAGCACAATTCCTTGATTTGATTGGTAAATCAGTTATTTGGAATCCTAATTTGAAAGCTTTTCAGAATAGCATCAGCCTTACTTTGCAGCCACCTTCAGAGGTGTTGGGTTTTGGCCTGCCTCTTTTATTCTTGTTTTTGGTTAACTGGGACCTTTTGTGGGCTTGATTTGGTTGGCTGCTGAAAGGCAACCATGTAAATATCGAAATAATTTGTATTTCTGGTTTAAAGCAGGAGTTTGAGTAACGTTTCCTTAAACTGTGCAAACCTTAGAATAGCAAGTCATTCATTGGCAAATTACAGACTATTGTGTCCCTGCCCTGGCAGGGGGGTTGGACTGGATGATCTTTAAGGTCTCTTC